CAATTTCTTCACAAGTGTATCACTAGCAACATTAGCACAACTACCTCCATCAATTATCATGCTACATACCTTGTTTTGGATGTGACATCGAGTGTGAAATATATTTTCCCGTTGCTGATCTACATCATCTTCTTTGATTTGCATGTTCAGCGCACGTCTTATAACCAAAGCCTCCCCCTCAACAGGGTATGCAATCTCCTCATCGCTACAATCCATCAAAGGTGGCATCTCTTCACTTTCAGATTTCTCACTTTCAGATTCAACATCCCCATTATCTTTTATAAGCATAACTCTTCGGTTTGGACACTGAGATGCAATGTGCCCCTTCCCTAAACATTTAAAGCATTTAATATCTCTATCACGAGTAGGTTGAGATTCAGATTTACCTTTCCCATCCGTATAAGTATCCTTTTTGGCCTTAGGTGGTTCAGCCTTTGCATAAGGCTTTGGTTGGACAGCCCCCTCTTTTTTCAAATTCAGCCTCCATGTTGAGGAAGATGAAGCCGAATTGGTCTGAAAACGTGTACTGCCCCTTCTCTTTATTTGTCTCTCTACCTTCGTTGCCATATGGACCATGTCTTCCAATTCCACACAGTGTTGTAATTCTACAACATTTGCAATGTCCCTATTCAGTCCATTTAGAAACCTAGCCATAGTAGCTTCCCGATCCTCAATCACGTTGGCCGGAATCATGGCAATCTCTATTTCCTTGAAATACTCATCCACGGACCTAGAACCCTGATTCAAACCCTGCAATTTCAGATACAAATCTCTATAATAGTGGTTAGGCACAAATCGCCTTCTCATCAACACTTTCATCTCCTCCCACGACGCTACCGGCCTCTCTCCACTCCGTCTTCTACTAGTAACATTCTGATCCCACCAAATCAGTGCATAATCCATGAATTCGATGACTACCAATTTCACTTTCTTCGCCTTCGAATAGTTATGGCAATCAAAAATCCAATCCACCTTTTTTTCCCACTCCAAATATGCCTCGGGATCGTTTTTACCTTGAAAAGAAGGTATTTTCAGTTTGATAGCATCCAAATCACCATCTAAATCAGCATGTCCCCCAACACTACGGAAATTTTCCCTTTGGCCGAATTGGCCCCTAGTTCTATTCCCATAATCCCTTCGGTTTCTAGGCTGCCGAAAACCTTCCCGGTAGTCTATGGCCTCATCATCAAAAACACCATCACCGATATCACCAACGGCCTCCTCAAAATCCTCACAATCAGCCCACCTTGTTGGCCTGTTGGCCCTACTGCTATTGTTTGCTTTCGGTTCCACCCCAAGCTTCACATTTTGGGTGCTCGTACCAGCCTCGTTACCACGTTTCTCCACCCTATCAAGTCTGTCGCACACATTTCCCATCACAAAATTCATCCTCTCCATCATTTGTGTCATGGCTTGCATTTGAAATGTAAGTTCTCCCTCGGGATGGGGCGGTGTATTGTTTTGATCTGACATGATAGTACCTGCAAAAAGTTGTTAGTGGTAAAAGAAAATTTATCCTCACGTCACTCGTGTTTCGCTCAAACACTCTTAATATCCTCACACGCTCACACCTCTCGTCTCACCTTCTTGCGGTTCTTGCGAAACTGAAACCAACACCAAATAGAACCAACTTGGCAGCGCTAGCCAAATATATATATGACTCAAGAAGCAATGAAAAAACTAGAAAACAAGCAAAACGAAACTGCGATGATAGTCTCGTGAGTAGCAAGCGAGTCTATCCGAAATATGAACGAAACTGAAGACGCGAATAAAAACAGAAACAAAAAATATGCAAAATCATTAAAAAAACACCCAAATATGTTGGATATGATGAAAATAAACTGCAAGAAATGAAATCAACAAAAAGCAAGCGAATTTTGAAACGGTGACGCAAGACAGACTCGTTTACGACAAGTTAAGTCCGAATCTGGAACCTAAAGTAAATAATGTTCAATTGAGTTAAAATTTCAGATATAGTGCGATATCAACCCAAATAGACAGAATATAAGGTTTGAGCAATTTATGACAACGTTTGATATACTGACGTAAAAACGTTATGAATCAGACCTGAATAGACCCGAATTTGAAACCCAAAGCAAATGATATCCAATTGACCCCAAATTTGATATGTAATGCGATTAGGACCCCAGTAATTCGAATATCAAATTTGAGCTAATTCCGAGTTGATTTGATCCAATTGTCCCTTGTTTAGTTTTCTGCGGCAGAATCTAATAAACGTCTTTTTGAACAATTTTTTTTCTTTTTTTTTTTGTTTTCGAAGCTAATTATTTATTTTTAACAATAACAGAATGAAATAACAATTTTTTTTTCTTTTTTATATGCCGCAAATTCGAGGAGAAGAAGAAATTGGATACTAAGGAATTTTTTGCGGAATTAACAAGAAACGAAAATTTCAGGAGGATATAACCTGATTAATGGAGCCAAGCTCTGATACCAAATGATGCGAACCTCGTGATCACATGGTCACGCAACCCACACGCAAAGATGCCAATTCCCGGAAAGCCAAGTAAATCAGGTTTGATAGGAGTGTGACACAAAGATAACTTGTACCTAGGCACCAGCACTATTGAAAACAGAAACCCCCACCCAACGAATATTGATTCGCGAACGAGAAGTATAAGGATGACGCCACGAAGTCAGTTGTTCTTCGATAAGTCGTTTTCAGTTCTTTAGAGAACCAAGGAAGGGAGATTATCCCACCAACACACAATAAGTGCAGCAAAGAAGTTTTATTAATCTGAAAATTGCGTAACCTTTACATGTTTGGGTTATGCCTTTATTTATACTGAATTTGAACTTAAAGAAACCCTAATGGACCTCCCTTAGGTGGACTTATATGTAGCCCACTTACAATTGACCCAAATAAGTAATAATAACCCAAAAACTAAGAAGAAAAATACTAAAAATATTAAAAATCCGAAAATACCATCCTAAATAAGCTAGAATCAGATTTGTCACCCTTAACAAATCCTAAACAAAATTGGAAAAATCTGATTTGGAAAATTTGTGTTGCTGCCCCCTTTGATGTCCTTGATTAGCTTGGAATTCCTTGTTTAACTTGGACAAATAAGAAAACAAATTTCCTCCTTTGTTGCTGATTTAATTACTTTCCTTCCTAAGTGAGGAAAAGTATTAAATAGTCCTCCCCTCTTTAGGAGTAAGATTTGGCCAACTTCCTTACTTAGTTAGGAGAATAAATTGCTGACTCTTTATCCTTGTAGTATTAGAAAAGACAAGCCTAACAAGGCTGGTATTGGGCCGGACACATCAACCCCTTGTTCCACATGAATTGGGCTCTTCTTGGACCTGAACTAAATGAATTAAAGGCTGTTCTTCATGCTCCTTAAATGTTCCAAGCCTCTCTAGGTCCATTTTGTTCCATATATTCTGAACAAGCCCATTCAATGCTTCTTTAAGCTTCTTAGCCCTAGCTCTTGTGATTGGCCCAATTGGCACCTCCAATGGGTTGTTGGCATGATTATGCTTGGTGTTAGGCTGATCCGCATCAGGAGAGATGTATATATCCTCCAGCTGTTTGCTAATATTATAACTCTCGAAGATTATTTCATGGAAGTTGTTAGATTTTTCTCACTTTATGCTATCGGCATGCATTTGCTTATTTACATCTGCTTCTTCGATTGTAATTTTATGGTAGGCAACAAGATCGCTGCGAGCCCTCGGTGTGAAGAGTAAGATAGTTGGTTTCAGCTCCGAGTCTGCATCTGAGAAGATAGATCAGTTCATTAGTGCAGGCCTGAATGGATGCTTTAAAAAGCCACTGACTGTCGAAAAGATTGCCCCTTTCCTTCCTCATCCCAGTTCCCAACAGGCAATAACTGACTCACCGCAGGAAGACAAAGGGCTGATTGATCCCTATACTTTATAACTCGAGTTTTGGGTGTAATTGGCCTGTGTCACTTTCTTTTCTTTTCTTTTAGCTATGGGCATCTCGATTAATCCTCCAAATCCTGAAATTATCACTTTCTTTTATAGCTTGTTGTTGTACATAATGTAGCTGTATAAATGAATTGTTGAACCGAACTTGGAAGTAAGGAGAGGGTAAAAGAGTCGGCTAATTCGAGAAATCTAGCAGAACTGACTAGCTTAACTGGAAATTGTGTCCTGTTTTAGCTTTTGTGCTATATCTCCAAGAAAATAAATGACGAGGACACAACTTCTTATTGTAGTTGTCATTATTATTTTTCCTTATGTTCGATCTTTATGTTTGCTTGATAATTACATGCATTTGAAGCTCAGATTCAAGTATTATAGAAATGACTACAGTACTCTTCTTTGTTCTTTCCTCATAATGATAAGTACTGCCCAAGCATCGAGCCTTCAGAATGCTTGTAGTTTTTGCTCTCCTCCTAGCCCTTTTTATTATTATTATTATTATTATTGGCATATTTGATAATTGGTTTTTAAAAAATATTTTTAATTTTTTTATATTAGTATAACAAAATCTTAAAAAATATCGAATTAATATTGTTTTAAATGAAAAAAAATTAAAATATAAAAATTATCACAATATTGTTCAAACAATAAACTTTTTTTTTTGTTGGTATAAAACATTTTTTTCCCCTCACATTATATATGCAGGGGTATAATTTTAAGATGTTGCTTACAAACACGGTTCAAATAATATTTTATAAAAAATTAAATTTTTATATTTATAAATATTAATATATTTTTAAATTAAAAACATTTTAAAAAACAACCTAACCTAATATTTCTAAACACCCCCCCCCCGGCACAACACAACACCTGATGCACAGAGAACATGTCATGTAGCAGCTGGGTTTCATTGCTATGCTATCATTCCTTTAAATGATTTAAAGTTTTAATATTTCACATTAATTTGATGCTGAGTATATGTGTAAAATATATAATTATGATTTGCACGCCCATGCTGATCCTGGTCTCGTGTCCTTACTATCTTGTCATGGGCTTTAACAACATGACTCCACGGCCCTGACCCAAATCTATACTCCAGCACTTTGCATTATTGCGTTGCTTTAACTGGTTTCTGATCCCCTCTCATCTTCCCAACAGAACAATCAATCGAAGCCGGAAACGTTGTTTGTTGCTTAGCGAGGTCTCAAAACTGAACGGGTAATCTCTGCTGTTAATACTTATTTAAATTGATTCTCTTCATTATTAATTTGGGCTCATTAGATCGATTTGATTGTTATATTTTAATAGTTATCTGGTCCAATTTGGCCAGTATTCTTGATTTGGGTTTCCTTTGAGAGAATTCATGAACTGGTTTTTCTTATTCCGTGTTTTTTGATTGGGAAATCAGGTTTCTTAGGAAGAGAAGATGGGGTTCATTATGGAATTTGCTGAGAATTTGGTTCTGAGGTTAATGGAGGATCCAAAGGAGAGGGACCGGAAGTTCAGGGAGCGCGTGTATGCTGTCAAGGATCGATGCCAAAAGACTAAGGAGATGTGGAGCTATCCCCTTCGCCCTTATGGGTTTTGGACATTTGAGCGCCACAATGCACAGCTTGCTTGGGATGCTCAGATTAGCCAGGTGCCTGGTCGAAGGGACCCCTATGATGACCTCCTTCAAGATAGCTATGGTTCCCCCAAGTGAATGAAGGCATTGACTCAAGGTTTTTTTTTTTTTTTTCAAGTTCTACTGGGTTTAAACTAGATTGGTGTTATGTTGGTATATTTGTGTGGTGTGGAGCATGTTCTGCTGAATTATTTTTTTTAAATTAGCGTGGATGTTCAAGTTAACTTGCGTGCTGCTGAATTATTGATTGAAGATGTTGTGGTTATTTTGTTTGGTGGCTTCGTGTTCCTAGGTTTTCTCGCATTCATGTAGCATTAAGAGTTTTATTGAATGACATGACTTTTGTAAAGTTTATGACCTTACATCAATAGGCTTTTTTTATTTGAGGGTGTGGAATTTGAGGTGATTTTCGGTTTACTTTTATCTTACAAGATCTGCAATTTGAGATTTTTTTCTTCACCTAACAACCAAAAAAGATTTTCGCACCAGCACAAACGACTTTGTACTTTTTTATTGGAACTCTGGCTGAATGTATCGATGGCATTGACAATGAGAATATGAGGTTGCCTGGAGGGGCAATGATGAATCAGGTTGTAAAAATGTAAGAAAATGCAGTTATCATTTGATCTCAAGATGATTCGATCTCTAAGCTACTATACCATTGTTTGATCTCACGAAGGCATTTAGCTTCATAAATTTACTTGTAAGTAACCATAACAAATTTTACCATACTGTGCTTTTAGTGGAGTATGTTTGTGTGGAATATCGGTCTATAACGCATTTTTTATTCTTAGGCTTTTATAGTTTGAATCTTTTTATGCATTTCACATGAGTAGGGATGAAGCAGCTTAGGGGATATGTTTTGGAACCTTGAAACCTGGTTTAGTGGTTGATTGGAAGCATGCACATGGTGTGTGATGCTATTCATCATCTGTTACTTTGCTTAGGAAATAAAAATGAATTTTCTGTGCTTCTAATTATTGATAACATGACTTCGTCTAAAGCTTGATCTTCTGGGTCATTGCATACTGTTTATCAAAGTGAAACTTATTTATCATTATCACAAGATATTTGGGGAAGCATATTTTATTTGAGTCTAATGGATAACTTTTTGAATCTCCAAATCTAGTAGAGAACTGTGACTGGTATCTTTGATCATGCAATCAGTGCTCATCAATCTTCTCCCATGGATGCAGAAAGCTCAGTTTCCTTTAGCATGCTGACAAGGGGCTTTCTTGGAGGAAACAGAGTGGAGATTGATGTTTAATGTCATGTATTCTGTGGACAGTACGAGTGTCGGTTGGTTTGACACCTTTTACGAGTTTTAATAGCTCTTTTCTCACTTGATCAGGGAAAGATTCCCGTATTTTCCTTGTACCTCATCATTGTTCCTAGATAACCTTGCTATTTTTGCTTAGTAGGGGTGGCATGGACAGGGTAATTTATCAGAATTTGGACCGCAGGTAAGATAAACAAGAAGGCAGTTGCAACTGCTCCTTGTAATTTGCAAACTTTTTTATTATTATTATATTCAGATTTCAAAACGTGAAAACGATTTCTAAGATGTTCATTGACCTGTTCGACGTGCTGTATAGAAAATCTGTCGTAAATTTTACATGTAATCATCCAACGCGGTTGTACGACCACGCTCTATGCCATGTCTCTTCATGATATAATGCAATCTTTTGAGAACAGACCTGCGAGAGAGTTCATTCCTGAGAATGAAAGCGATGTAAACTTGAAACCCTGAAGAACACACAGGATCTTCCAAAATACAGGCTGCTTAAAACCACCACATGAAGGAGCATCAAATTTAATGTTTTTGCCCGAACAAGAACCACATCCGGCGGAAGATAAATACAGGCTGCTTAAAACCGCAGTGTGGTTGCATATCTCAAGAGCCAATCCATTAGGCCAGGGGGTTCAAGATACAAGGGAGCAGATGCTGACACGCACTCAAAAACGCAACTAATCCTGCGCTATCATTTCCAAAAAACATATGAAGAAGAATTACAATACATTCACATCCATTGATACAAAGGAAGGGTCAACCGAGTTTCATTTACATATTGGCATGCAGTTCACATTTAAACACTAAGCAAAAGATGCCCCAACACCCACAAACCCTATTGAGATTTTCACCAACCATACTACTAGGCCAAGGATGCCCTTACTCTCGATGCAATTTTTTTAATCGGAGTCTGACGAATCCGGGTCTTTATGTGCAGTTGCATCTTCTTTCTCCTCTGCTTCACCTTGCTTGAATGCGTTGGAGATCTCATCAACTGGAACCACAGGCAGGTAACCAAACACTACATAACCCTTCTGGCTCATCTCCTTAACGAAATGGTTGTACTTCTCTGACCACTGCGCAGCTGTGGGAACAGCCACCTCTGCAACTTTGTGGACCGAAGGATATTGGTCGAGTTTAACCCACAACTTCACAGATTCAGTGAGGAATAAATGCTTGGACTCTGTAGATACATAATGCACAGCAGCACGTGGTCCTCCAGCTTGGAATTCGTTCGCAAGCACCTTGGCCTTCTCCGACGCTTTCTCGATCAAATAGCGTGCTTGGCTCACAACTTGCTTAGCAACAGGAGGAGCACGCTTATCAAACTTGATTGTTGCTTCATCTACCTGCAGCCATCAAATACAGTCATTAGCCTCTGTTTTTTCACAACCATATAAAAAATAATCTAACTGCTTTTTCTTCTATAAATCAAAGAAACATCAAGAAAAGATACAGTAATCTTTGTGAAAAATACAAGTAAATCATCAATAAAGCAAGGAAACGATAGAAAAAACCTCAAAGATCAAAAGAGAATGAAAAAAACGCATAGATCGAAATAAAGAAAATCAAATAAGAAACCGACAATCAAAGCATGAAGAATTACCTTGTGATCAAGAAAGACAAGAAGATGATCGGGGACGCCCTTGAATTTCTCATAAACAGGACCCACCACAGCATTAACAGTGCCCTCAACAGTTCCAACAGCAGATCTCAAAGGCCCCGAGTTGCGTTTCGCATAATCGTAAAGATTGGAAACGCAAACCAAAACCTGAATTGCAGCTATCCTCACAAACCCCAAATGCTTCAGATCTAAATCTTTCCTCTTGCTGTTCTCTACCTCCATGATCCGCGTCAAAACCTAAACTAACCAAAGTGAAGAAGAAAATTTGATTTTTATTTTTTTTATTTATTCAATGCTTATTCTTTGCGTTTTAGAGCGTGTTCTCGTAAAGGAAAGACGAGAATCAGGGTTTGCCTTTATAGGGCAAGGGAGATCGCGTCATATGTGTTAATGACTCTAAGTCGTACGAATGATCTGACGGTTGAGAGGAGATCTGGATGTGTGGGATTGGGATTTCGTTATGTTTTTGTAGGATTTTGTAGGGTGGGGTCATGTAGAGGAGCCTAGGAGAAAGTAGAGGTTTCGGGAAGGACACGTGGTGGTCGGTGACGTGGTGGAGGGTGGTAATATTGGTGTAGCCTCTTTATATTTTGTTCTTTGTGGTCCCTAGGGGAACAATAGGGTCCACTCTAGTGGAAAATTTTGGAAAAATAGCGACTTGTATTTTTCCATTCCATGTACCAGGCAAAATTTGTGAGAAATTGGGAAGATGTTACTATTTCTTTTTCTTTTTTTTTTTCTTTTAATGGTAGATGTCTGAACAGTTAAAAACATCTCAACTAATCTTTTAATATTTTAAAGTTAATAATTATAAAAAAATTTAATAATTTTATTTTAAAATTAGTAGCACTCAAATTAATAATTTTTAAAATAAATTTAAGAGCTGATGAATTTAATTACACCTCTATATTACTATTTTTTAACAATTTATATTTTGTTTGGTACTGTATTTTAACTGTATTTTTAAAAATTTAAATATTTTTAAAAAATAGATTTAAATTAATTGTTTTAATGTGTTAATATTAAAATAAATTTTAAAAATAAAAAATATTATTTTAATATATTTTATAAAAAAAAATACTTTGAAAAATAAAATCTACTCTATTTTTATCCGTGCCCTAAAAATTACAAGCGACAATTCTCTAATACTCCCATGAACAACTTGGTCGCGGTAACTTGTGATTATGAATTTGTGATATAAGGAGATCTTGAAGATTCATTTTATTTAATTAAAGATTTACGGATATCTTGTGGAGGATTTTCCATTTTATTTGTTCCTTTTCCGTTGTCACTTGTCACGACTCATGGACTTTATTAAAGCAACAAAGATGTTTAAGAGAACGAATACTACTTCAATGGCCAATCAATACAATCCATTCCCAGGTGCTTCGTGGAATATTACAATCTAGTGGTGAAGCCCAATCAAGGGGCTAGGTGAGTTATCTCTTAGGATAATATAAAAAAATATCATGAAATAAAATCTACTAGAATTGCATAAAATGTTAAAAGGAATAATCATGAATATGAATATAAGATAATGGTTTGGTTCAAACGTCATTGCATTTTATCTCTAGTGATAAAACAATGGGCTTTGTTGATAAGTGGCCGGTGGTTTCAAGTCGGAAAATCCACATCTACTTTATCAAACGAAAGGCAAGTGCCAAACACTATAGAAACCTGGGAAAGCTACCTCAATACCAGTTATATCAGCATACACAGTTCTAGCCTCTTGTTTGTTTGTTGAGGAAACAAAGAAAGCCCAAGCTCCAATTCGAGATTCTAGCTGGCTAGCTAGTCAACAAGCATACGTACAGGCTTCTGTTCCTGTTGTTTATATATTTTTTTAAAAAAAATATTTCTTTACTTCAAATTATTTTGATACATTGATATTAAAAATAATTTAAAAAGATAAAAATTTTTATTTTAATATATTAGAATATTAAAAATAATTTTAAAAGATAAAAAATTTATTTTAATATATTTAAAAAAACACTTTAAAAATAAAGAAAACCCCTTACCCGTGCTTCAACCCCTATCCATCATTGTTTGATGAGGATCCAAAACAGTATAAGTTTACGCAACCATTTGCGAGTCTTACCAAGGCATGCTACTACTTGAAGTTTCTTAATGGTCCAACGCCATTGTCACCATCACTTTGTCGTTTGTAGGTAAGCCATCCAATTTTCATGCTACAGAAGGTATGAGTTAGTCTATCAGAGAAATCACAGTTTATACACACTTCACGACATTGATATTTTAACTCGCCTTCTAATTCAATCATTTTTTATTTTTTAATATTTTTTTGTCCTTAGCAGCGCTCCATTAATTCATAAAAAAATAAGTAGCCTGGAAAAAAAATTTAGTTGATAGAACCAGACTGCACATCAATAGCAAAAGTGCTGCTCAATGGAATCGCAAGCAATTGACTGGCCCTACATCACATCTTTAGGGTGTTGACACAATTATCAGAGCCCATAAAGTTCAAGTGTATGGGAAAAAGCATCCACCGTGAAGGGGGGGAACAAAAAAGCTAATTAGAAAATGAAGAATGGCATCATAGTCGGGAAAAGCATTGTTCATTCATTATCATATAAGCACAAAAAATACAAGTGTATGGGCAAAAGCATTCACACTTACCATATTAAACGTTATAGAGATGTGTACTGTAAATTGTTGTTCTCATAATTTGTACTGTGGCCCTGAGAAAAAGTCAGTACCATTCTGAAGGAGTAGAAAGTAGATTTGGTGACGTCAAACTCCTTAATCCTTTCAGACAGCTTGGGATTTCTGGCGCTTCATACACTGAATAATAGGCTCCTTAACCTGCAAAAGATATAAAAGACACGTTGTACCAGTAATACAAATTGGTGGTTTTAATAGGACTGCCGTATATGCAGGTAAGAGCTTCAACCAGCTCATGGTTTGGAAGTTGAAGCATACAGTGCTTGTCTATCTGGACCGCTTATCTTGAGAGGATCTGCTGCAGATAACTGTATCTGCCTCGTCAAAGTAATTCGTGTTTCCATTTGCTCTGGCATTCTTCTTTCCTGGAAAGAAACTCTCTTTTGAAGAAGCAACAGGCTACAAAATTACAAAAAAAAAAAAAAAAAACATCAGTTAGTTAGCTGTGGAGTATTGGGATTGATTTATTGATATGCACACAAAGGAGAAATTCCACAACTCAACTAACCTCAGCCCCGCTTGTGGGAGTGTTTCCATGGTTCCTTGTCTTTGAACTAATCTGTTCACTCCTAGTTGATCCATTTTGATTTATTTCTGATCTTATCTTCATGCGC